ATTATGGGAGAGAGAAGTATGAAGGGACTAATTTCTTTATGATACTACTTTATGGCTGCCATTATTGGTCAATTACCCTACTCTGGCCAACTTAATTCCCCAGCCAACTGGTACTTTCTCTGATCCATTCTAAGCAAAAGTTGACCTCCTATTTTCCTAATCCCCCTGCTCTAGAGTTGCTGTAAGTCGAAGTGGAAACCCTTTTCTCCTGATACCTCTCCTTTTACTTTCATCCATATTTAGCTTAGTCCTTACCCACCCACTGATGCAAAATCTTTTCGTCCTCTATCTCCTTTCCAGTGTGGATGCTGGAACCACAGTCTGGTGTTAATAAACTCCACTTTATTTTAGATCTCTTTTTTTTTTTAGATCTCTTTTTGTATTCTGGGCTCCCTTTCCAGTACTAATTGTTCTTTCTCTTATGTCCCACAACGTCTTGGCCTGGGAAGAGTTGTAATATTATTTGCTCTCCATTTCCATCATTCAGTAACCTTTCTTCAGGGTTTACTCTAATCATTGACATAGTCATACCCAGGTCCTGATTGCTGCCATCTGTTTACTTCCTAAGCACTCTTTTTTTTGTTGTTCTTGTTTTTGGTGAGGCAATTGGGGTTAAGTGACTTGCTCAGTCACACAGCTGGTGAGTGTCAAGTGCCTGAGGCTGGATTTGAACTCAGGTCCTCCTGACTCCAGGGCCAGTGCTCTATCCACTGCACCACCTAGATGCCCCCAAGCACTGTCTTTTCTTTAGAAATTCAGTTGCCTCACAGTCTTCTCTCTCATACCCCCTGCACTCATACTTGAAGACCTGAGTATTCACATTGAGGTCCTTTAAAATACCCCATCTTCTCAGTTAATACAACTCCTCAGTTCCCGTAAGCTCTATCTCAGGAGTGGTCATACCTTAGACATAACTCTCACCTCACATCATAAGAACTCTGAATTTCCTCACTCTGATCATAATTTTCAATTTCTGTCCTATGCTTCTTAAACCTATTCTAGGTTTTCACCTAGACTTCAAGTTCCTCTGTTCCTCTTGCTGTTCCAATTTCTGTTCTGTCCTTGTATTCTTCCTTTTGTAGTCTTTTCCCTATAACTAATTATTTTGACTACACATAGTCCTCCACCTTTGAATCCCTTGCCCCTTTGTCCTATCATCTGGTTCATACCAGTTTCTCAAGCCTGATTCAATCTATTCTCCGTTCCTATTCTTGAGCTGCTGAATGCGGCTGGTGAAAGTCCTGCAACTATGCTAACTGGATCCATTACCCATTTATTTTATCTAATCTCAAAGGGCCATCCTTACTGTTTGGGGCTTCTTTTTGTCAGTTGATTATTTGAGGCCAGATTTGAACTTGTCTTCCTGACTCCAGATCAGGTGCTCTATCCACTGCACCATCTAGCTGTCCTTCTCACCGGAGGTGCCTAAATTGAGGCTGGATAACCATTTAGGATCACAGATGTCAAGCTACAAAAGACTTCAGAAACCATTTGACCCAACACTCCCATTTTACAGAACAGGAAACTGAGGCCCAGAAAGGTTAAGTGGAAAGCATCTAAGGTCACCTGGATAGGCAGTAAGAGGCAGAGAGCTGAGACACAAACCAGGGTCCTTTGATGCCACAACTAATGCATGTCCTACTTTACCATGCTGCCTCTTGTCAGGGATGTGGTGGAGAGGAAATTTCTGCATGGGTAGGTGGTCAGACTAGACAATCTAAAATTCCTTCTTTCCCAATGACTCTAAAAGGAACTAGGGTGGGGACTTCCCAGAGCTATTGGTTCTTCAGGGAAAGCCTCAGGACTTCAGGGGAAGAAGGATGAGGGGTAATAAGACTGAATTAAAAACAATGGGTGAGATGGAGTCAACAGTAGCAATAGAGAGAACAGGAAAGTTCCAGTAGATATGTCAGTAATGGAAGCAAGGACTGGTACAGGTGGCTGTTACTAGTCAGTTTGTCAGCTCATAGTTTGGGGAGTCTGCTCTCTATGATCTCTAGTATCATTTAGGCTCTTCTGAAGTGCTTTGAAAGCATCCCCCCCGACTCTTAACAGTTTATTAAATTAGGTTTTAGTGCATATGAGCTGTTGCATTGGTGTGAAATAGATGGTAATGACTCATTTTAATCTCTTCCTTCCAAATATTTATATCCCACATTTAGATGCAAGGAGCACAGAGCCCCAAGTGGACAAAACAGCTCCATTATTTTTAGATTTTAATTTAATACCAACCTAGAAAATGTTTCAGAGTTCCTTGGCAAACCTTAAAGAAATTGGAGTTGCAGGATGATTGGGAAGAGGGGTTATTTTAATGGATACTTTATTGACCTGGCTACATGCATATGTGTACGGGCTTTTGTGGTGAAATTAAAAAAAAAAGAAATATTAGAAGTAAGTGAATTTAGAAATATTGCAAATGCCACAGAGTATTTCAATAAACCAGTGTTTGTGTTGCTGCAGATCATCAATTCATTTTTGCATTCCTTCCAGTCATTATCATGTGTATTAATGCACTAAATAGGACTGTTTTTTTCATGGAACAAATTTTAATAAACTGCATAAATGACTGAGTTCATCAGTGGTGTGCAGCCTATGACTCATAGCCGGGATTAGAGCATGGGCTGGTAGCGAAAACCAATAAAGGAACTCAATAGCCAACTATGTATTCGAGAACCATTCGTTCATTAGGGGAAAAAAAGGTCTACTAGAGTTGCTAATAACCATTTATTGCTTCACATGGCAATGTCACTACTGAAGGGGACATTTAGAAAAAAGGACATTTGCATAATGAACATTTAGCTAAAGAATTTCCTCTGTTCTACACTTTTTGCTAGTATAGTGATTTAATTTTTCTTCTGTACTTCCCTATGAGGGGGCACAATATACTGTTATCCCTTCTGCCTAGTGACTTTCCCCATAGTGGTTTTGATATATCATGGGTTGGCATAAGAAATTAAAGAGGGATTTTTTGGGAATTTTACAGAAGCTGCAGATGACATGTGAAGGCCAGCAGACAATATAGAAAAAGTTTAGAAACTCAGAAATGTATAAAACATATGTATGCTATTGTATAATATCAATATATTTTATCATTTAATACCATACTAATTCAGAATTTTTCTCTGGTATGAAGGAATGATCAAAAAATTTTACGTGGATTTTCTAGATTGCAGCATGCCATGTTCCTCCCCTTTCTACCCCCCCACCCCCCACCCCAACAATGTGGAAGGGCTAACTGTATAAGTATTATCCTAGAGTCATAGATTTAGAACTGAAAGTAACCTTAGAAATTATCTAGTACTACTCCCTCATTTTACAGGTGAGAAAACTGAGGACCAGAGCAGTGAAAGGATTTAACCAAGGTATGAGTAGTTAGTATCAGAGTCAGGATTCAAAGGACAGTGATACTAATTAATTCCACACCCAATACTCTTTCCATTGTGCATGTTGCCTCTAATATCTTGCAGAGAGTCAGGTTAATGAAGGTGTCTCATACTTACACTCATCTTCCTTCACTCCCCATGGCCACTCTAGGGGCGTGCTGTGGTCTTAGGACAGACACATTCATAACATCATATATTTAGAGCTGCAAGAGACTATGGGAGCCATCGAATCTCCTCGTTTTGAGGAAACCATAAAGGTTAAATGACTTGTCCAGGGTTACATAGCTAGCAAGTGTTATTTATAAATTAGTAAAAGTGAAATGCAGAGGAAATTTTGAGACAATTTAAGTGACTTGACCAGGTTATGGCACATATCTAGGATGTGTCCAAGGTGGAATTTGAACCCAGATCTTCTTGCCTCTAGGTCCAATATTCTCTTCACTTCTCCACAGGATTTGGAGCAGAATCAGCATAAGAAATCATGTCTGATGACTGCACACACACACACACACACACATATGTGTGTGTGTGTGTGTGTGTGTGTGTGTATCCTATATCAGATTGCTTACTATCTTAGGGAGGGGAAGGCAGGAGAAAGGGAGAAAATTTGGAACTCAAAATTTTATATAACAATGAATGTTAAAAATTGTTTTTACATGTAATTGGAAAAAATAAAATACTATCTACTGGAAAAAGAAACACATGGCTAAAATATCCCTTGAAGTATACAGTTTTAAGATGACTTGAAGGAAACAGTTTTAGGCAAAATCTGTTTCACCTTTTGCAAAAGGAAAGGTGTTTGAAAAAAATTTTAAAATTTTTAATTCATTTCAACATCGTTGGATCTTATCATCTCTATTAAATAATTTTGTTTAATAAAAAGGCCAGAAAACAGTAACTTGACATCATATTTGTCAGAACTCACCTAAGAGGAGATACATCAAAGCTTAAAAAAATAAAATAAAACTTTCTTCAAAAAAGAAAGAAATCATGTCCAATGTCCTCATTTCACAAATGAGAAAACTAAGATACAGAAAGGGGGCAAATACAGTAACTTGTGTGAGGTCACTCAGGAACCAGATAGTAGAGCCAGATTTTGAATGTAAGGCCTTTGATTCTTAATCAGGCCAGTTGCAGTAGACAATAGTGTACAGATGCTCTGACTTCAGAAGCAGTCATAGTCTCAGTGTGTAGCTGCCTCTCCTGTGAGGGCATACTGCAAGTTACAGCTGTTGGTGTTCTATAAATTTCTCCTCTGTTGAGACTAAGAGATGGTGCCCTCTTTTGGAAAACAACATGCTTTCTTTATTGTCTCTTGACGTACTTTATGACCAGTGCATTGACTGTGTGCCAGGTGGTTCTGCAGTTATTTTCTCAACATAAAGGAAAGTGTTTAGGAAAGATGGTTTGGGTAATGGTGAGAATAGCAATGATTTACTCCATTAAACCTGACCTTATGGCTGCAAAATCATTCTTTTCCTGTCAAATGGTCTGCATGTTGACTACACTTGATATACTTGTCTCTCCCACTACCAGTCCTCAACGTGGGGTGTGAGTGCCCTTAAATGAAGGCAGCTCCATTTTTTTGGGAAGAAACTAATTCTGTTCATTGTTTAGTTCCAGGCCCCTGTGAACCTGAAGATCTCATCGATGGAATCATCTTTGCTGCCAATTACCTGGGATCAACACAACTGCTTTCTGAACGGAACCCTTCCAAAAATATCAGAATGATGCAGGCCCAAGAGGCAGTCAGCCGTGTCAAGGTAGTATTGGTCTCTTGAGTTGGTGAAAGGGGCTAGGTCCCTTGGCAGCTGAGCTCAAGGATCTGTCTAAAATCACGCAATTTCAAATTGACTTCAGGGTGCAGTGAAGTGAGTCTAGCTCTGCCACAGCAGAGACCTGCTTTTCTTCCAAGGCCTGGTGTGAAAGTGCACAGAAACCCAGAGCCCACCAGTGAGTGGGACATAAATTATTGCCGAGGTCAGAACAAAGAGCCTTAAGACTGGCGGAGCACTGTGAGGATTCAAAGGCGGAATCCAGTCTACAAAGGGAAAATTGTCAGGCTGCAGAACACAGGAGATTAGTTTCCAGATGAATTCATTTCACTAAGTTGCAGCCTGGAAACATTTTTTTTTTAAAAAAAGAGGTCATTCTCAAGCATTCTAGCTGCCAAAAATCATCATTGTTTAAGGCTTCAAGTTCCCGTACAATGATATTTGCCTTGTTTGTTCTATTTAAGGAACTTAGAGATGGGAGGGAAAATCATTTCATGAAAGAAGTTGAATGTGTTCATAACTCAGGAACTGCTTAGAATTCTCAAACCTAAACTTAGAACCACGTAAATTTGTGCCTCTGATAAAATCTAGATAATAGAAATGATGTGATTTTCAGATATCACTGTTGATATCAATGTTAAACGAGACACATTTCACTAAAATCATTACATTCATCTTAAAATTTTAAGTGGTGAAAGCTATGTTTTATATTGAGCAACGTCTTCTTCACAAAAACAAACAAACCCCCCCCCAGATTTGGAATTAGAGGGCTTGGGTTCAAATCCTGATTCTGCTACTGACTAGTTGTGTACTTAGACAAACTGATTCACTACCTCTGGATCTCAGTTTCCACATCTGTAAAATGAGAGGCTTGGACTACACAAATTTTAATGACCCTTCCTATTCTTAATCTATGAATCCATGATCATATGAACACCAAGTGTATGTTTTGCTGGAGAGAGAACTGGATTTGGAGCCAGATGATCCCAATTTGAATCCTATTTCTGCTACTTATTACATGTGTGACCTTGGGTAAATAATTTGTCTCTTCTGAGTTTTAGTTTCTTTAATTATAAAATGAGGGAGTGTTGGTCTAGACCACTGGTGCCAAACTCAAATCAAAACCACACATAAGAATCCCTATAGGCTGTATATTGTCTTAATTTTAAAATGTAACATTATCTATGTTTCATTTTATTTTTGTTTGTTTTCTTAAATATTTCCCAATTACATTTTAAGCTGGTTTGAGGCCCAAGGGCCACATGTTTATTTAACACCTTTAGTCTGGATGACCTCTAAGGTCCCATTCCTTCTGAAACCTATGCTTTCGAGATAGGTGGTGCAAATGCTATTGTATTATAATTATTATAATGTATTAATTTTAGATCAGAAAACTGAGGCTTCCAAAGGTTAAATAACTAGGTCACATGGCTAGGTATAGCCAAATCCTTAGTCTTATATCTTCTGACCCGCAAGACCAGTGTTCTTTCTGCTACAATATAAAAACCCCCTCAGTGTTCAAGGGCTTAACATTGCTCTTAAGTCACAGGCTGAGTCAGTGGTGCTAAAACAAGGAGATTATTTTGTAAAGGAATTGCTGTTAGTGAGTTACAGCAAACATGCTATTTGAGCTCTGTCTGCACATTAGGTGCTTTTAGTAAATGCTTTTTGAAGGGGAGAGGGGAGTAGTATAAAAATATAGCCTGATTCTGGACTAAAAGAGTATGGGCTTTCCCCCCAATTTTTCTTTTTGCCAATCATGAGAGCAACTTTATACTGTAGCAATTTCCCTTTGGAGCCATATAAAATGGAATGAAATTCTGATGGTGGCTAGAGAGTTCTTGCCCTGAAAAAGACTCTTGGTCTTGGTTGAAAACCCATGATTTTGCTGCCCTAGGCCACAAATTGTGGCCACGTGAATATACCTGTACAAGAATATATAGTACCAGCTCCCCTGACCCTGTGCCTGGGATCCCCATGCTCCCTGCTAGGTAGCACAACTGTAACAAAAGATGTGAAAACATTGCAGTTTCTCCTAGGCTTGATTATACTATAGCTTGATTTCTCACAATTCAAATCAACTTAACAGATGTTTCTCAAATGCTTCAGGTTCTTTGATACATTGAGCAGCCCATCGGGGTTGGAAGGGATCTTAGAGATCATAGTCAAACCCCACTTTTGTTTTTACAGATGAGAAAAATGAGGCCCAGAGAGAGGAAGTATCTTTGCCTAAGGTTGAGTAACTTTAGAGCTGAAGTTGAGTAACTAGTTAGTATCAGAGCTGAAACTTGAACCCAAGTATCCTGACTCCCAATGCAATGGCTTTTTTTTTTCCACTGCACCATTTTGTGCAACGTTGTTTTATACGAGTGTTGGTCACGAGGGGAGTTATGAAGATAAATTAAGTCTAACATTTGTCCTCAAGGAACTTACCATCTAATGGAAGAAGTACACTGAGTATGAAAGTACTTATTATAGGGTCTGGGTCACATTTTCCAATTCCATTAATGACCTTTGGTGTCCCAAAGTTCCCTGGGACCTGTGAATGGAACATAGCATGTTTCTTTGTTAAAATTTTGTCTGCTTTTTGCCCTCAATCCTTCTATGGTGTGGAGAGGTGTTCCCAAGTATTGGGACCTGGGCTACATTTTTTTTAATGGTGCCCAAGGGGTTTTGGCATTCATTAGAGTAAGGACACTCTCAAACAGCCAGTAGAGTAGAAACAAGTCATCACTCTTCCAGGGGGTGCAGAGGGGTCCTGAAATTATCCTTCTAACCTTTAGCAGACTTGCCCAGTAAATGAAGGCCTGACTCCACAGCCTTACTTGTACAGTTTCAAACTTGAAGAATTAATTCTTCAGTGAGACAGTAAGCTCTGATCTCATAGTTGGCACAATCTGTCATTAAAATGTTTCTCTTTGTCCTTATCATTCCATATATAAACATACTGGAGTAACTCGGCTGTTTCCAGCTGCTAAGAAACAAACTTGTTAAGGGGCTTTAATGATTAGTTTATCATTTATATTTCTATGCTTAATCCAAAAGTCTGTTTCCCTTAGTAGATTCTTTTTTCCATTTTACATAGGTTCTAAGTATTTAGTCCAATGGCCAAAAGACTTATACTATGTGCTGTATCTTTTTTTTTGTGTCCATCTGTTTTTCTTTTTCTCTTACGTGCTACTCAGAGGATGCAGAAGGCTGCTAAAATCAAGAAAAAAGTGGTGTGTAAAAAAAAACCCCAATGTTTCTCTGGAATACCAGTGCTTGTTTATGTTTTTGTGGCTTGTTCATTGTGGAGCTGTGCTTTTCCATTAGGAATCCTCATAAAGTGGTAGTGCTGTCTTCTTTCCCTTCCACCTTGAATGCTTAATTCCAAATTATCAAATGGAGCCACAAAAATGGCTTCATTTATTTTTCCTATTACCTATTTACTGAAGTAGCTGATCATTACTTCCTTTCTCTTCTATTTAGTTTTTTCAAATGTACCAATACTTACTGTGTCTGGAGAAATGACTAATTTTGTATTTAATAGTGGTTATACTTCTAGGTGAAGCATTTCATGCTGACAGAGTGATATATCTTCCTATAGTATAGGTCTAACTATGACATTAATTAAATTATTCTGATATTTAAAGAGTCATTAATTTTAATTTACCAAGTCAGTACCATGAGTACTACAATTTGCAATGTGCACATACATTTTCATCTAATTAAAAAACGTTTTAGAGTGGGGTCAGGCTAGCTGTCATTTCAAAATAGTTGATATTCAGTAAGATGTTTGCAAACACAGTCATTTACTAAATTTAGGAAATTTACAAGCTGTCATTTTAATATCTTTCAGTCTACTAAGTATTAAATATCTCTGATTAGTATTGAAATGCCCATTTGACAAATTTCTTTTTTTCTTTTGTGTTGACACCAATAGAAGAAACATGGTATAATGGACAGAACGCTAGGGTTGGATAGGGGAACACCTGGGTTCAAATAAAACCTGGACAGGCAAGCATGAATATAATGAAAGCATTTTTCAAACTTTTTGGTCTCTAAACTCCATTATACACCTTTTTTTGGAGGCAATCAAGGTTAAGTGACTTTTCCAGGGTCACATCTAGTAAGTGTCTGAGCCTACATTTGAACTCAGGTCCTCCTGACTTCAGGGCCAGTGCTCTATCCATTGCACCACCTAACTGCCTCAACTCCATCACACTCTCAAAAATTAGCAAGCTTTTTTTATATATAGGTTATATCTGTTGATATTTACTGTATTAGAAATTAAAATGTTTTAGTATTATTATGAAAATAGTTTTGACTTCGCAGATACTATGGAAGGGTCTTGGGTCCCCAGACTACATTTTGAAAACTGCTGGGTTGGTGCAAAAGTGGATTTGGAGTCACAGAACATGTTTGAATCCTGATGCTGCCACTTAGGAGATCTTGGTTGAGGCATAAACTCTCTGAATCTCAGTTTCTTCATATGTAAAATAAAGATATGGGCCTAGATGACCACTGAGGCCATTACTGCCTCCAAATCTATGATCCCCAACTCTGACCCTTAAGAACTGTGTGATCCTGGAGACATCACAACCTCAGGTAACTCTAGGTTTCTGTACCAAATCATAAACATATGTTAGGAGGGAGTCCTCTACACCAAAGCTGAAAAAAAAATCACAAATCTTGTTATGTTTTGATACTTAGAATATGTGCCTGAAATTGATACTCTTTTCTTTAAACCTGGGCAGAAGATATCATTTGGTGGTTTTCTGTGACCTATACTCTTTGGCCTCTGGCCTTCCATCTTTGACCAACAGCATGTCTCTAGCTGTTTATTTTCTGTATCCTGTTCAATGACAAGCAAACTGGCTAGCCTGTGTTCCCATTCATATTAAGTAGATATCCCTTTAGGGATTTCAAAGCTACATAGCATTATGGGTTTAGGTTTTCCAGGCTGGCACTCATAAAGCTATTTATTCCTTCCTAAGTACTATATTCCTAAGTACTAAATATGTACCACATTTTCCCCAATTCTGGCTTTTGCCCACCTTGCTCTTGCTTCACAAAGTAAGAAGCGGGGCTCAAGTGTAATTTGCAGTCAGTCCAAACTAGCCTCCCCCATCCTTTTCTTTTTCTTTTTTTTTTCTTGCCTTTGCTCAAATGTAGGTCAGAGAATTTTTCATTGGTATCTGCTTGTAGGCCACACATGCTCCCTGCTTGGCTCTAAGAGGGACATTTCCAGACCATATGAGCAGCCCTCTATACCTCCTTTTCAGTACTTCAATTTTTACAGGAAATATATTTTATGTGGAAAATAGTATAATTACTTTTCAGTACATATTCATATTGTAAATAAATAGTCCCTTAACTATAATAAATACATATTTATGTATGTTTACATATATAGCACACATATATATTTTTTCCTTTTAAAAAATCAGATTTTAACAGCGTGCCCCATATTGAGAAGGTGACCTATATTTGGAATATTGTGGAACTTGACATGTAATTAGCATAAGTTGTTACCAGATAGAAAGTGATGCCTCAGTACTGAATTTGCAATATTATTATAGACATGATTATTTACTATAGGCATGATTAAAGACATTGATGGTAGTATATTTCTCTCTTAATTATGCTTTTTAAAAAAGATTTTGATGTTATATAGCTGAGAATAAACATTCATTGCTATCGATTTATATGCCCAATCAAAATACAACACTTACATAGAGAAAGCTCTGCAGCTTCAGAGCAGCATGGCATCAAAAACCCTTGCTGGCTTTCTTCTGTACTAAGCTCTAACTCTCCTAGTTTAATGATTAATTAAGCATGTTTAATTGATTGGTCATTGGAAGAAAGGCTATCCATCTTTTCGTATGCTTGTTTCTTGGTCCCAGTTCTTTCAGTACCAAGGGAAAACAATTGGTTTGTAAAATTGTATGTAAAATTCCTTATTTATAATGTCTACTCAGAGACTATTAATTTTCCCTTTTCTCTACCTAATTTGTTCCAAGTTTTCTCAATCAATAAACTTTTCTGAGATTTTCATATAGCACTGAAATGTACCCATTAAACACTGCAACTGCATTTGCCCAGCAATTAATTGTCCCATCTTGCTTCTGATTCAACCTGTCTCAGCAAGAATTATGATCCAAGTCATTTATCACCCAAGAATACAACTTTTGGAAACGCATTTGAATGAACTGTATCAAAGCTTGTGGTTTGTGGTTTTGGTTTTGTTTATAACCAGAGGTATAAAGTGGCTTTTTCCCAATTCCACAGAAAATGTACCTTTGCAGGATTTATTTGAATCAGTAGCTATAAATGAGGTAAAAGTAATAGAGCCCTGTAGTTGAAGGGCAGATAGCACACTGTGGTTTTTCTCTTTAACGACAACATGAAAACACAATTACATCATCGTAATATGTGATCTCCAAGTATTTCAGAGTTCTTAGGGTATAGCCAGCAGGGAAAATGTGTTTTAATCATGTACTGGGAATGATCAAGGCAAACCTATGTGACATTGTGAATTGGGAAGCACAGCATCATTGACTTTTGAGTGACCAGAGAGAATTACTTAACTCAATAGGCATACTAGTTAAGCACATTCTATTTCTACTATATTCAAGTAATTGGGATTCCTACTGATTTAAAACCAATTAAAACACCTTCCTGGTCTTAAGCATGCCCAGAGTAGTACATTCAGGTACTGGAAAAGGTCAGTTTAAATGTAGCTTGATACCATGTCAGTTGGGCCAATAATAAGCATGCTGTGGTTTAAAAAAAAAGTAGCCATTTGACTTGTCAACATTTATGTTATTTGTTATTAATTTTATAATAGTTCCTAGTTATTGGATAGATTTTTATTAATAATTATTATCATTAATTTGAGACAATATTTCCCAGTTATTATGGGAAGGAGGAAGAATCACGTGACATTAATAGTCAGTCATTTCTATAATTGTTTGAGGTTTAAGGTTGACAAAATATTTTCCTTACAACAACTCTACAAGGTAGGTAGTGGAAATAGTATTATCCCTATTTTTGAATGAGGAAACTGAGTATTAGAAAAGATAAAGGACTTGTCCAGGCATGTTCCTTTAAATGTTTAATGACTGGGTCACTGAAAAAAAAAGGCACACATGACATACTTTTAAGTTTAATCTTCATTGTTAATATTTTCTCCATCCCTTTCTTAAGTTTAGATAACAATAAATCAAGGCCTGACTTGTAGTGCTTGAATATTTTGAAGGTGTAAATGATGTCATTGAAAATTTTAAAATTTACTGTTGTGGGATAAGACTTGGTTCCAGCACACCCATGTACTTGTCCCTGGTCACATGGCAAGCGCATGTCAGTGTTGGGATTTGAACCCAGGACTTCTAATCCAAGGCTAGCTCTCTTTCTACTATATAATACTGCCTCTCCATCATGTGTTTATAATCCCGTAGTGTTAGAGCTAAAGGAAACTTTAGAAATCTCTAGTTTAACCACCTTCTTCCATAGATGAAGGAACTGAGGCAGAGAAGTTAAATAACCTATTCAAGATCATATAACAAGTTAAAGAAATCATAGTATTTCAGAGTAGTTCAGCTTCTAGTTTGGGGAAAAGATAGGCTAATGGGACAGGATAGCAAATGTGATTATGAACATGTACCTCCAGAGAAAACATTAATATTTTAATTAACCTTCTTTGAAAATATACCCTCAGGGCAGCTAAATAGTGGCAAGGAGAGAGCACTGGTCCAGGAGTCAGGAGGACCTGAGTTCAAATGTGACCTCAAACACTTACTAGTTGTGTGACCCTGGGCAAGTCACTTAACCCCTATTGCCTTCCCCTATCCCCCCCCCCAAGAAAAGAAAATGAAAATATACCCTCTGTATTCATGAGTGATAATTTTCAATGCTAAATTGACCAGCAAAGTCTGTGAGTATTATTACTATATAACTTATGGTAGTTGCAGAAAAGTCATCAATTAAGAATCAAATTATGGGGTAGATTTTTAACTATTTAATCAAATTTCTTGATGGAATTAATGTGGGCCAAGTCAAGAGGTATACACACACACACACACATACTCTCTCTCTCTCTTTCTCCCTCTCTCATGCTTAGCTTTGTTGGTTGCTTGTAGCTTGTTATCTATATGCGTTGCTGTTATACAAAAAGAATGTTTAGAAGCATTTCTCCCAAAAGCTTTTTTGTACTTCAGTGTTCAATATTATAAGTATTTGTTTTTCCTTCTTTGTACTTACAAATTGAACAGGTAAAACTCGATCTCCCTGAATATTTCTTGTAAGTTTGTGCTTTCTAGATGCTTATCATTGAGCAATTTAGATATGTAGCACCCTTCCCCTCCCAATTCTGTCTTGCTGAAAGTGATTAGTAATGTCTTTGAAGGCAGTTAAAATTTGCTTTTTACCAAGAATTTTCTTTTCTTAGAGTTCCGAAGGAGATTCCCAAACTTTGACTGAAGTGGATCTCTTCATCTCCACTCAGAGGATTAAGGTTCTAAATGCAGACACACAGGTCAGTGCCTAACACATTTAAAGTATAATTACCCAGAAATTCTGCAAGAAAAAAATACTTTTAATTAGATGTTTTGGGGGCAAAAATGTTTACCTATGACTGACACAGATGAATCTGTACTTTAGGATCATGGGCAAGTGGCAATTTTAGAAAGCACTGTTGGTTCATTTGAGGATGGGGAGCATTCTAAAGGAAATTTCCTTTATGATAGTTGTTTGCTGCCCAGAAACCTTAAATATTTGAGAAACTAAGTTACTCTGAAAAGAAGCAAGAGCTGAGCTAGAAATCACATACTTATTTTAGCTGACCTTTCATGATTCTAGAATGCCTTTCATGACTTCTTGAAAGAATAATTCCAGTAAATCTAGTTTTATTAATGTTAGTATAAAATGATAAAAAAAAATAATAATAGCTTACATTTACATAGCACTTTGAGGTCTATAAAAAGGAATTTCTTCTCAGAAACCCTCTAGTAGTACAAATATTTTTATCTCTGTTTTACAGTTAAGGAAGCTAAGGATAAAAGAGGATTTGACCAGGGTCCTATAGCTTAGTGTAAGGGACAGGGCAGGGCCTCAGACTCAGCTTTTCTGATTCCAAGACCAGCGATTCTCTATTACACTATTTCTCATTGTGTTTAAGAAGAATCTAGATATTGGAACTGTTGTTTAATTACAATGTTAAATTGGTTTAGTCCCACTCTGATATAGTGGAAAGAACATTTCATTTGGGGACAGACGGCCTGGGTTCAAGGTTGATCTGCTACTCAATACTATATAACCTCAAGTAAATGATGTAACTTCTTTCAGTTTTAGTTTCTTCATCACTAAAATGAAGAAGCTGGACTGATTGGATCTCCAAGGTCCCTTCTAACTCTAAGCCCTAAGATCTCTCTGCATTATAAGCTCATATTGATCAAGTAAAGGAATTTTAATTCTGGAAAGAACTTTAGACACTTTGAAGTGTAAAACTACTTCATTTACAGAGGTGGGAATCAATAACCAGTAAGTTGATGACAAAACTAGGATCACCATTATCATCATCATCATCACCATCAACATCATTAGTTATCATTTATATAGCACTTATTATGTGCCAGGCACTATGTTAAATGCTTTATCATTATTATCTCATTCAATACTCACAACCCTGGGAGGTAGGTGCTATTATCCCCATTTTACGGATGGGGCAAACAGGTTAAGTGACTTGCCCAGGGTCATACAGCCAGTAATTGTCTGAGGCCAAATTTGAACTTAGGTTCTTGCAATTTCAGGCCCATTGCTCTATCCAGTATGCCTCCTAGCTGCAGGTCTTATATGTCAATTTGGCATTGTACTGGTGGCAGCATTAGATTTGGGAATTTCTGAGTCTCTCCCAGAAAAATCTTATTTTCAAGAAAAGATAATCTACTTTATTGAGGTTTCTGAGAAGAATACCCTTTATTCAGACTATATATCCTGATTTTAGGGTCAGAAAATATGGTCTGATTAAATCCTGTGGTCTTAAGAAGCCTGGATTAGAACCAGTGGCATTTAAAAAAATAAATTTATTAATTTATTTTTATTTTCCAACATTCATCTCGATAAAATGTTGAGTTCCAAATTTTCTCCCCGTCTCTCCCTCCCCCACCCCAGATAGCATGTAATTTGATATAAGCTCAATATATACATTCATATTAAACCTAGACAAATTAGAACCAATGAGAGAAACTGCAAGAAAGAAGAAACCAAAAAAAAGAGAGAGAGAGAGAGAGAGAGCAAATAATATGCTTCGATCTGCATTCAGGCTCCATCGTTCTTTTCCTGGATGTGGACAGCATTTTCCAGCATGAGTCTTTTGAAATTGCATTGCTAAGAAGAGATAAGTCTATCAAAGTTAGTCATTGCACAGTGTGGCTGTTACTGAGTACAATGTTCTCCTGGTTCTGCTCACTTCATTCAGCATCAGTTCATGTAAGTCTTTCCAGGTTTTTCTGAAGTCCACCTGCTCATCACTTCTTATAGCACAATAGTTTTCCATTACAGTTCATATACCACAACTTGTTCAACCATTCCCCAATTGATGGACTTCCCCTCGATTTCCAGGGGCATTTTTTAAAGCTTTCAATAGATATTTCAGAATTAGCTGGGATTGAGACTTTGAATACTAAGTTTACTTCAGGACACCAATATGTCATATCCTTACAAACCTGAAATGTTTACCCAGACAGTCATTTGGTCTATTCTTACATTGACTTTCTTTTCTTCTCATAGTAGTTTTGGAGAGCTATCATTGTAGAAAATAAAAATTTACTGTATCAGCCAGATATTAATTTTGTTTGCTATTAACTTGATAGGTAGGAGAGGAAAGTTAGAAACCTCATGGAACTAAAGAAATGAGAAAAGGAAAACAACAGCTCTCAAAAATATCTTATCAGTTCCCTTTAGGAACAGAACTGGGGCTTTCGAACTTGTAGTCATGGATAAAGGCTGTAACCAAACAAATCTCATTATATGATGTTTCTACTTTTTCCATCCTACAGATAATGTAGGTTGTCTTTTTCATTTTAATCCTCTATTGTTACTTTCCCCTGGGGCTTATGCTCTGATTTTCTGGTTGTCTACGCAGTATCAAAACAACTGATTGAAAAATGAAAAATGTGTTCAAACTGCTAGTCGGACATATAATAGCAATACTGATCATTTGATTGTGTTGCCTTCCTTTTCTCTTCCTCCCCTCCCCCTCCATTTTTGGTGGAACTTATGGATTTTGGCATTGTATGAAGCAATCTATCCATTTTCTCTTTGATCTAGTTTAGTGTTTGGGAATTGGGATGGTGAATCTAGTAATTCTAGTTATTCCATTGAATTTACATAATTAAGAAAGAGATATTAGTCAGTGATAGTCTCTCTTCCACGTGTACATTGTAGGGCAAATCTTTTAGAATTCCTTGCTTTTACCTACTTCATATCTGTATCACCTTAGCACTAAGGGTTTCTTAATATTGAAACACTTTTTTCCCTTTTCTTTTCTTTTCTTTTTTTTCCTTTAAGAGCTTAGGCACTTTTGTAGAGAGATCCTTCATGCCTTAGGAAAGAGATAGGTCTGAATTTTCCCAGTGTTAAAAGCACAGATCTAGTTAGAGAAGCCCATTACTAGCTCCCCAAGGATTACTATGGATTTTCTCCAGGGTCTCATCATCCATCTTCGCATCATAGGTCTTTTGACATAATTATCCAAACACTTATGTTGACAACTTCATCTCATGGAGTCTGAATTTGGCTCTTACATGAGGACTTTTTACATGAGTTGGAGTTAAGTACCCACTTGGGTACATGTTAATGATCACAAATTAACACTTTTTAGAGAGATTATCTCTATTTACTTTATTCTTTACAAACATACATTTTTATTCTCTTCTGAGCAAAACAGAGGAAAAAATCTCTTTTATACCTGATGTGATAGGATATCCTGTTTTTGATTATGTATATTTGTGTGTGCATGTATATATGTGTGTGTATACACCTGCATATATACATACATATATATATTCACATGGATGTTTTTATACATACACATGTATATGCACACACATATACAAATACACATATTTTATGTGCTCCATTTTTCTGAACTGGACCAATTTACCCTTCCTTATGCAGCCTGATGGTCCTCCAGAACTCACGCTATCCACCCATCTCACCCTCCTCCTGTAGGGAGGAATTACAGGCTTGCACCATCATGCCCAATGCTCAGCATGCTGCTTTTGACTATTAACAGACTCAGGTTTTGTTTCTTTTTCTGCCCACTGCAAATAGCAGGAGCACATCAATTCTTCCATTTATTTAGTTAGTTGGTGCTCTTTGGCTTTTGAGAATACCAGCACAATTTTAAGTATGAAATTATTTTTGTTTCTAATATAAGGTGGGCAAATGATTGGAATCTTAACCCGGGATCTCTGAATCTATCTGGTTGCGGGTAGATGAGCTGGGGGTTAATGATTATAGCTCCAAGTGGACCTCATGCTTGGCTTGCCTTTGATGCTCCGTTACGAGTGCTTATTCCCAGTGGACTTTTTTCACTCTCGAGCAAAAGAAGAATCATTGTTCTCCTTAATGGAATGAAAATCCTGATGGTGAAATTGATTCTCTTTTCTGGGGTGCTGTAAATAAAAGCTTCCATGAGCAACCCTCCTCTCTCCATTTTGTCAGTGCAGGGGGCAAATTTCTTCCAAATAACCTTATGTTCACCAACGTGCTTATATGTTTCTTAGTGATCATATTTCTGAGAGGGTAAAGTGTTTTTGACATAATTCCTGGCTTTTGATATTGCTTGACTGATAAGCAGCTGGGGGTGCCAGATTCATTGCTTTATAATGGTTTCCAATTCTGTAAAACAGGTTTCTCTCCCTCTGTGTTCTATTGCTACAAGTCAGGCAGGGCTGTATATAATGAAGGCCACTGGTGTGCATATGAGTGTGTGTGTGTGTGTGTGTGTGTGTGTGTGTGTGTTCTGTGTATATATGATTAAAGAATTCCATCGTCTTCCTGAAAAGTGGGGAGGGGAGTTGTATTCATTATAACTCAACTTTGAGAGTAGACATTTCTACTATTTTTCTCTGACTCTTGCCCCCTTATCACCATTGCATAGTAAGAGACAAGGATCTTGTCCTTTTAGGTTATACAGTGGAGAATATTGGAAAGTGCCTTAGCCTGCAGTGTTTAAGATTCTTCCAGGAAGTGTCCATTATAGAAGAGTTCCCTGCAGAGAGGAATTTTACAGAATAATGGAGGAGAAAACCTGAAACTTTTACAGCATTTGTTTTCATGCTTCATCTGCAATGAATGTTCTGCTAACCACTGAGCATTCAATTCCAGGGCTGAAGAGCACTAAGAGTATTTTGGGGGAATGACCATTTAGAAAATAAGGGGTATCTGCGATGAACCAAGTGATTCAGAGAAAGCAGTCACAGGAGAGTTCTGGGGACTGTTGAATAGAGATCCCTTTCTCTAAACCAAACTGATGATGATTGTCTATTTTATGAAAGAAAGTTCCACAATGGTCTTTGACAACCCATGGCATTGTCTTTTATCTTTATGTTAAGGCAATGCTTCTGAATATTCCTCATAATTCATTACTATGATAGCTTAAGTGCACATATGGGAAAAGGGAAGGAAAATTGATCAAGGCCCTTCTTATCATAATACTTCATAAATTTTACAACAGATAAGTAACCTTTTTCATCTTTTCTATGCCTAATAAGCACTATTCCTTTAAGATTTGTCTTTGAAGTCCACTGTGGCCTGGTCTGTTTGAAGAACTATCTCCCATTTTCTTTAAAGTTGTGTCTCATTTTTCACCTGAGCTTTCTGATTTTATCATGACAGTGTTATGCTGTTTTTCTTTTGTCCTTAGTAATCTATTTTTGTTTTTGCTATTTGGCATTTTATTTTTATTTTTTGTTTTTTTGGGGGTTGTTTAGACCAATTTCCTTCATTTCAAAAGGTGCTCTTACACTCTGAGCAAGGTGATTTTTTCCCTTTTGCGTAACAAAAAACTACTCCACCCCATTATTTTGAAATGATGAAAAGCATTAGAAACATAGTCACCTTAACCTCGAAGAACAAAATTGTTAAGCAGTGCCTGATACTCTCCATCCTTATTTGTCTTGTCTGCTAGACCAATGGCCTAGTTCTCCTTCTACAGAATCACAGAATTTAAGTCTGAAGGAACATCAGAGAGAGGCTAGTTAGTCCAAGAAAAGAATCATAGCTAAAAACATACTTGAAAAGTGGTTGTCCAGCATTTGCTTGAAGACCTCCATGGAGAGTGAACTTTGCAGAATGAGTACTTCTACAGATGCCAGGCAGATCTACTTAGTTAAATGGAATTTTCAACTGAAGAAAGGGAAGAAAAAACTTTCTAACACACTCAGCTATGCTTTTATTTACCACCCTAGTTGTCCGAGACTATCTCTAAATTATGGGAGAAGGTAAGTCAATATAGAAAGAATGGCAGGTTTCTCCACATACAAATGAGAAATCAGTTTGATTGAAGTATTTACACTGATGTCTCACAATCAACCTTCTATGTCTCCTACCCCCCAGATAATGTGAAAGGATATCTGGTGGAGAGGTGGGTGACTCTTTTAATGTTTGTGTTTGCCAAGGCCTGAGATGAAGGAGTATTGAAAAGCTGACATTTATCCTTTCTTTTTTGAAATAACCTCTAGTCCTGAGTAGCTAAAAACAAAACGCACTTGCTACTGCTGGAATGAAATTAGCAGGGCAGATTGAGATCAGCGCACAAGACAAACATGGAACTTCACGAGGTAGGAAGATCTCAGAGGTCACAAGAATACACCATGTCTCACCTCTCCTTCTATGGAAGGGGGATAATGGCACTGGAAGAGAAACTTATTAGTTGTTCAAAGCCATTGTGTGATGCTTCATGGAGAAGGAGAATATTTTTGGGAGGAGACAGCAGACCATGATTTAATGGACAAAATAACAAAAATAAAATCAAAGCAACAAGAGTAATATGGCCTTAAGCTGAGCTAAAAGAATTGGATCAGCTTCAGAAACTGCTCTTGGGCCATTTGGTGTGACCCACGCAGGTCAGCACTTTCCCCATACAATGCCTAGTTGCTTTATGCTCTGTGAACAGAATGTTTTTTATGGAAAATTTAACACTGAGCTTCATCCCCCTGTTCTCTGAAGGAAATTCTAGGCCAGGCAATTGTTGTACTCGGTATGTGCATACGCAAGCTCACAGCCAGGGCTGCTTTTCAAGTACCAGCATAATGTGTTCTAATTGAAGATGGTTTTTTGAATCTTAGAAACTGGAGAGTGCTTAGAGGGTCATCCCTCTGAGGGGAATGGGAGGTGGGATGGCAATCTTCTAGAATAGAAGCTGCTTTTTAAAAAATTTAATCTTGTCCTATAGCCAAGATAAAGTTCTTGCTCCCCATAGATTCCCATTTCTGCAATTATGAAAGGACTCATGATCTCTTTGGCCTTCAGCCAATGGCAGAACTTGATGATTTTTGGCCAACTCTAACATAATCAAGGATTTCACCTTGAATACTTTGTTCTACTATAATAAAATGCCAATGATCCAGGATGTTTGGGGAATAGAATATTCTGGGTAGAAAAGTTAGACCTGTCTACATATCTCCTAGGGTATAATTCATGGAGGTATGTGGGGGTGGTGGTGTCAGAGTTTGGGGAGAGGTGAGACAAGGGTCGCTTAGAGAAATACTTTTTTTATAAGTGTACATATTTATAATGCCAGAAAATAATGTTTATCAAAGCATTAATAGGCATTTATTTTGTGATAAGGCAAATCCAGTGTGTTAAGAGCGAAGTCTCAAAGCCTTAGGTAGACAGGAACACATAGGGGTTCAACTCTCAGATCTTGTCAAAAGTGGTAAGAAAAATAATAGTAACATTGTTATGTTGTTTTGAGATTTACAAAGCACTTTCTTCACAAATAGCCCTGTTAAGTGGTGGTATAAGTTCCCCCTTGAGGCTCATGGCTATTAAACGACTTGCCCAGGATCTTACAGCAAATAAGTTTTGAAGTCAGGATGCTACTGACTTCAAATGGAGAGAACTTTTCAAGTGCCTTTTACTAGGTCTGATTCTGGACACCTTAATTTTCTGGTTAACTGAAAGTTTTAAGTAGGAAAGCTTTTTTGTTTTGATTTTGTCAAAGAGCTTTCTAAAATGTACTAGTCCACTTTTCTGGGAATAAAAGTATTGGGAGTAAGAATAACTGACATTTATATAATGCTGTAAGGTACACAAAGGCATCTGAATGTAATGAGTTTTCATATAAAGGAGATAGAGGGGATTGGTCTAAGTATGTATGAATTCCAGAACAAAGTTTGGAAATTAGATATTGCTGTTGGTTTTTTAAAAATATATCACCGATATGAAGATATATTCTTGTGCTTTGCCTGGTTTCTTTAGAGTATACTGGGAAAATCTTCTTTATTGAAAGTTCTGGTTAATGGAGGTTTTGTTGAATTTATCATCTTGATGGCTATTTTTATAGTTGCTTTTCTACCATGTGTTTGGAATGCTACCTTTATAACTTTAGATATGTATTGCTATTGCTATGACATTTGTACCCATCTATATTCCTTGTGGGCACCTTCACTATCAGCAAATTTCACCCTTGGAAGAAAGAAATAAAGCCACTTTGGCTTCCCTATGTGTCTTCTTCCTGCATACCTGAATATCTTCAGTCCTGTTGTCTGGCCTGGAGGGAGTCAGGTAGAGGCAGTGAGCAGGTGAGTATATTTCAAAGCTATTTGTATGAATGTCCCAAGGACATGTAAACAGTATGTATTTTTGCTTCTCCTATTGTTGAGGAGATCATCACGTGAAAAGTACTAACACTAATAATATATCTGGATAATAGTCTCTAGAAGCATTAAGAGGTGAGCCCAATAGGCACAGTGACACAGTTCAGAGATGCTTCTTGATTTGGCTTTCCTTCTCCATTGGTAGGAAACCATGATGGACCATGCTTTGCGTACTATATCCTACATCGCTGACATTGGGAATATTGTCGTGTTAATGGCAAGACGTCGGATGCCCAGATCAGCTTCTCAAGATTGTATTGAGACCACACCTGGTGCCCAGGAAGGGAAGAAACAATACAAGATGATCTGCCATGTCTTTGAGTCAGAGGATGTAAGTAAATTATTTGGTAATTGGTATGAAAGAGGCAGCACTATGTAATGCAGAGGTATCCCACATGCGGTCCACTGGCCACATTCCTGCTGCCAACACTCTCGAGTGTGGCTGAAGCAGATTAACAAATAATCAGGAAACATTGAACAAAGTAAATAAAATATAATAGAACAGAGACGTGGTGGTGTTGTTTGACTCTTTGTGACCCCATTTGGGGTTTTCTTGGCAAAGATAATGGAGTGGTTTGTCATTTCCTTCTCCAGCTCATTTTACAGATGAGGAAATGGAGGCAAACAGGGTTAAGTGACTTGCCCAGGATCACATAGCTAGTAAGTGTCTGAGGCTGGATTTGAACTCATGTCATCCTATCCAGAACAGAGATAATACATGGTTAATATGTTGTTCTCCAAATCAATATGCTGCCTTGAGGGATCCTTTTTGTACAGGTTAGTGGCTCCATTTCTATTTGAGTATGTAGTGGACAGAGACAGCTTAGAGTCAGGAAACCCTAAGTTCATTTCCATGTCAGATAGCTATGTGACCCTGTCCTTAGTTTCTTCATCTGTAAAATGGGGCATAAATAAAAGCAAAGGGCTCATAAAAATTTTGTGTGGATCAAATGGGATAATATGTGTAAAGTACTTTGTAAATCCTAACTAAAGTGCTATGTAAATGGTAGTAGCTATTATCATCATTATTATTATTTTTGATGTAACTATAACTGTATTTTTTCTACTTCATGTTGTGAAGTTAGAATTATTCAGATGAAAACATTCAGAACTCTTTAGAAATGATATACTATGTACAAATTCGATGTAAAATTATTGTAAGAGTCAATGGAAAGTCTTGGAGTCTCAAATTTTTCTATCAGTCCTTATGTCAAAGATATTTTGGATCAGCTATATATCTATATATATATATCCTCTCTAAGTTGGTCATACAACTTTGGCCAGTTTTCTTTAATCCTTAGCACTCTCTGGCCTTTTTCTGCCACTCTCTGACCAGCACTGTAGGAGTGCCACATAAGAGCAGGGGCCATTTAACATTTTAATTTGTTTCATCAATGGCCAAATGTTATGCAACAGGTTTTGTTGTTTATGTTTTTTTTTTAAGCTGGAAGAGACCCTAGAGATCATTTAGTCCAACCTTTATTTGTTGTAAACAAATGAAGAAACCAAGGCCCTCAGGGGCTATGTGATTTGTCCAAAGTCACTCAGCTTATTAGTGGCTGAAGTAGAACCCAAATTTTCTGACTTTCAGTCTGGTGCCATCTTTCACTACACCATGTGTTCGTCCGAACAAAAATTGAATCACATTTTAAATTCACTTTACTGAACTTTCTGTTTAAATAAATCCTATTGTGCATCATTTTGAGAGCAAATAGTTCCCTCCTAAATTTTCTGTATTGTCTTTGACATAAAATTATCTTTTAAAAATAAGTATCAAGTTTGCTTAAAGCTGCGTGTGCTTGTGTCTGAAGGTGTGTTTGGCAGTGTTTCCACATGTGCTGTTTGCCTTTCTACTTCACAACACTCTGGGAAAATTCATTTGAGCATATTTAACTTCACTAAAGTTAAGAAAAACATATGATCAAGCTACCTCTACATCTTTTGAATGCTCAAGTATGATGTTAAAGTCATCATTAGTAAAGTTAGATTACATAGGGGTGAAAGGGGAGAAGGGGTGAAAGAGTCCAAGGAGCCAGTCTGGGAACATAATAGTGCTATGGCCCCCTGTGTCTCTAATCACCCATCCAGCTGGCTTGAATCTCAGCAGAGTGCAAACTCAGGCAAAGAGCCTGAGTGAGCACCACAAAACTGGTCCTTCAGGTCTTTTTGGCAAGTTCATGTGGGCCCATTTTCAGTGTTTTTTTTTTCCTGTTTTGAGGACTCAACAAGGTTACTGGGTTTGAGATGCTCTGGTTGTTCTTGCCAAGTTTAATTAAATGTACCTATGCACATATATTTGTGGAAATCTGGAAACCTAGGAAAGATATTCTTGTGTAAAAAGGATTTGTGGGTATCTTAGAGACCATTAACAGTAGAACTAAGTCTTGTGTTCCCATAGTCTTTATAAGTAATATTAATAAGCAGTATTAGAAACTTTATTTGGGAAAGAAAATCTTAGCTTTGATGGACATGGGCCAAATCTATGTCCCAACTGACTTTTTCCACCCTTTCCCTGCCACGTCTAGGAAAATGAAATTGATCTATTTGAAGTAATAACATCAATGGGAAATTAAATTGTTAAATTCAAGTCTTCCCTTAGAATCAGATTTAGAAATTTGTTAGGATTGTTAGGGATAGAATGTGTTAAATGGGAGGAAGCATAGTAAAGTGTGAGCTAAAGACAATCCAAAGTTGGAGATGAAGAGCAATGAAACAAAACAGAGAAGAGAAACTAACAGGGAAATAGACTTCTTTGTTATTCTTGTCTTTTAATTTATTGGTACTTTCCCCTTGGAAATACTTCAGTATTGTTGCTTTCTAAGGGAACTTTGAATCTAAAATCAAACTAAATCAATCCACAAGCATTTATCAGATACTTACTTTGTGTCAAGTACTGTGCTAAGTGCTAAAATATAAACAGTTCTTGTCCTCAAGGAATTTCCATGCTAAAGGGAGACCCAACATATAACAGAACATGCAAGATAAATACAGAGTAATTAGAAGGAAAAATCAGAGGGAATGCCATGGTTTCTATCTCCGTCATTCAATTGATACTGCTTTCTTGAAGGTCATCATTAACCTCTTAATTGAGAAATACAATGGCTATATTTTTCATCCTTGATCATTCTACAGCATTTGACACTATGGATCACCCCTTTCCTTTTGTGTATTCTCTCCTTCCTTGGTTTTTATGACATTCTCCTATGCTGGTTTTCTTTCCACGAAACTGATCTCACCGTCTGTTTCTTTTATTGGCTTCTCTTTCTCTTCATCCAGTAATTGTGACTGTTCCCCAAGCTTCTGTCCTTGGTCCTATCTGTAATCTTTACTTTTGCTACACCCCTTTCTTCTCTTTACTTCAACCATTGCCTCTGTTATTGATTTCCTATATATTCCATCTTCATCATTTTCCCTCCAAAGTTATGTATTTATTATGCAGATATCTTGTACATATATACTACGTGTACATATTGGTATACTGATACATATGTATGTATTTACACAAGCATACATATGCATGCACACATATACATACCCATTCTTTTGTCTCACCTATTAGAATGAAAGCTGATTGGGGTAGGAACAGCTTTCACTTTTTCTTTGTATCCCTCATACTTAGTGTAGTCCCTGGCCCATGATAAGTACTTAATAAGTGTCTTATTGACTAATTGATATGATTGACTTCTTTTGCAAGTTTCACTACTTTATCTCTAAATGACTACAGGCTTTTCATACTTTCTTGCCTCAAACTCAACATACCTAAAGCCAAACTCATTTTCTCTTCCCTACAAAGGCATCCCTCCCCCAAAAGGTCCTTTTCTATCTTCCTGAGTGACTTTATCAGTGCTAACACTATTCTCTAAGTCACTCAGTATATGTGACCCTTTATTCTCCTTCCCTTGTACCAGTTTTAAAACCTTGGGGTCATATTTGAGCTTTTATGGTCCTTCCCTTGTATCTAGTTAATCACAATCATGTCCACTTAATTTTTTCCCTCTTAAAGGCTTCTATTGCTACCACCTTACTCTAGATCCACATCTCTTCATGGTTGAATTATTTCAAGCTGACCTTTCAAGAACCAAGCTTTAATTTTCTAAAACATATTATATGATAGTGTGAGTATTCTTCCAAAAATACTGCTTTCATTATGATACTTCTCTATTCAAAAAGCTTCACTGGCTTCCTATTTCATGATTCATAAGGTCTAAATTCCTTTATTGGTTTTAAAAGATTATTATAATTAGGACCAACCTCCTCTTTGTTTACCCAGGACTTCTTTGCTCAATTATTACCATTTTGCCTTTTCCCATTCTCCCCAGTATTCCTTCGCATATTTCTGAATCTGAGTATAGGAGAAGATAAAAGAGCTAGAGGAATGTTTCTCTGTTCTCTAAAGAAAGAAACAAGGAGAAAACAGTGTTCCTTGAAAGAATGGGAGAAGTTTAAAATGAACATAAAGAGGAAAAATAATCTATAGATGCAGAGGGGAATCTAAACCTGTATCAGGAAGTTGGAAGAAGAAAGACCAGGATGTAGGGAAGGACAAGAACAGCCAGTGAACCTTGAGTGAATTATATAAAAGGTTCACACTTTCTAGTCCAATAGAGAATTTAAAAAATGGACCTTCAGGGTTAGTCTTCATGAGTTCTGTGTAGTGATGATGAAGATCTGTGGGTTCAGCCAGGAAAATGATCCTTCTTGTAGCAGAGGGTAAACAGTGAGTTTCACCAAATATATGTTGGGCAGAGGTGGGGAACCTGGGGCCTCAAGGCCACATTAGCATGTCAAACATGTCAAGTTTGGATTCAGTCAAAAGGTCATGCTTGAGGTCCTAGAGAGCCACATGTGGCCTTGAAGCCCCAGGTTTCCCATCCCGGGTAGGGTTTCAGAATTGAAGGTAGGAATTTTTGTTCACAGGGCAATTACTACAAATGCCTTCCTTGGCTGGCAGGGAAAAGTCCCTGGACAGCAGCTGAAGGCTTCTGGGGAGGTCACTGTGTATGGGGATAGAGGTGTAAATGGAATAAAACTGGGTGGGGGAGTAACTCACTTTAGCCCTTATCTGGTAGCATCCTCTTTTGATTATTTAATGTTTTACTTAATTAACTAATTATTATTCTTGCTAACTAGGTGATAAACTTTAGTGTTTATATGCTACTGAAGAATTGTATGTACTGTCAGCAATCTTTAAATTCAGTGCCCTCTAAATTCAGCCCTAGTCACCCCTGCAGGTGACTGCTCTGGGTTACATAAGATTTAAAGCCATAAGCCCTGTAAATCAAATCTTATCCAACCCAAGAGAGGCAGTGTGGTACAGTGGAAAGAGCCCTG